TTTCTGGTATTTTAAAGACCTTGCTCTTGGAATGCATGGACCAGCCGTTAATTTCAGATACCTCAAAGTGCTCGATAGTTGGATGATTTAATTAAAATTCCAAGCTTCAATCGTTGTTAATAAATCCAAAACTAACATAAGCATTCATCAATAAAACTACATAGGAGAAATTAGAATAGACTACTACTACTTTTTCTCTTTTCTCAAATACAATTACTTAGTTTAAATACGCAATTCGCAATTTTCTCAAAATTATGGTTATCACAGACATAATTACGTTATCTTTTTACAGTGAGTAGTTACGTTATTCTAATTAATTAAATTTACTCGTATTTCTATACAAACTTAGACTCATATCACTGAAATACATTGATTGACTCATGTTCACGTTGAAGAATACTCGTAGAGAAAGCTCATTCAATCAAAGATAGAACAATATTTCTAGCTTAGGGATATTGTTTGATCTTTCAATACCACCTAAATTACACTTACAAAAGATACAACTGCTAATATATGAGCTATCTCCGCCATAAGTGTCGGACAATTAATTTTTTGTGTGTTTTTCTCAAATACTATTATCAATTTTATCGTAGACCGTTGATGATCCGAATTCGCATAAATTTGAGAATGATATTTCGAAAAAAAATCAAAAGACGACAATAAAGAGAGCATAGCGATTTAAAGTTTTGAGTGGTGAGAACAGGCTAATTCTAAAAGTAGACTGATAATATTAGATATATTAAGAAGCATCTGCAAGTACGCTTGTTTTGATATATAATACAATTTGAACAATTTAAACGTGGAGTAAAATTTTTCGACTTGAAACACATAATGGATAGATACGAGAATAATTATCTAGAAGACGAAAGCTTAAGCGGATTACAACGTAACCATCCGACAACCTCACAAAATGTGGTCGATGAAGCGGAATTGTTAGCAGCTCAAGCGGCAGCCGAAGCAGCAGCAACTCAACAACAGCAACACCCTGGTGATGCATTTAATAACGTTGGACAGGGTTTGACGGCTCGATTTAGAGACATGATGATGCAGTATTGGCAAGAAACTATAAATTCTATAGAACATGATGACCATGACTTTAAAAATCATCAGCTACCTCTAGCAAGAATCAAGAAAGTGATGAAAACAGACGAGGATGTGAGAATGATAAGTGCAGAGGCCCCAATATTGTTTGCTAAAGGATGTGAAGTTTTCATAACAGAATTGACAATGAGAGCTTGGATTCATGCTGAGGAAAGTAAGAGAAGGACATTACAGAAGTCGGATATAGCAGCTGCTTTGACTAAAAGCGATATGTTTGACTTTTTGATTGACGTAGTACCTCGAGAGGAAGAGAAACCTAAAAAGTCTTATTCTCTGAAGACAGAGAGCTATATTGGAGCGAGTCAACCCGCACAGCTGAAGACACCCACTGAAGCTGAGCAACAAGTAAACGATGGTGTAAATCAACAGCAGGTGTTACTTCAGAAGCAGCTTCTTCAACAGCAAATGTTGCAGCAGCAAATGTTGCAACATCAGCATCAGCAGCATCCACAACAGTCTCCACCTCCTCAATCACACCCACAACATCAACAACAACAACAACATCCTCAAACAGACTCTATGCCACAAGGACATATGGTGCAACCGCAGAATGCTGATAACAACAACAACCCCCACGAGTCAAACTTTGAGGTGTTTCCAAATTTTAATCCACCAACATATGAGGATGAGTTTTAATACTGATGATGCCACAATGTCTCAAGACTAATACTGGATTCGACAAAAAGTCAATCCAAAAAAAAAAAAAAGAGAAAGGTTATCAGAAGACTGAAAAAGGATGATGGGGATAAAATGCTGTACTAATTACCGATTGATTTAACTCGAACCTTTAATTTTGTATATTATACTTAGAAAGACACTAATGTATGGAGATAAATGCCAATATTTCCGATTTTTCAGTTGCGACCGGATTTCAAATCGAGTCACTTTATGACATATAAAGACAAATATAAGTTTGCTCACTCTTCTCCTTATTTATAGAGCAATTCCGGCTTTAATTATAACCATGTTAAGCTCAAATAAGTCAATTCTTCAATCAATAAAGACCGTAAGATTGAATAATTTGAGACCACTTAGGAATACTGTTTTTAGATCATCTGTTAATTATCAATCGAGAATGCCGTTAGTTACAATTTCTCAATCATTAGACGAATCATATACTAAGCACAAAATTGTTCCAGATGTAGTTGATAAGTTCGATACACAGGGGTTATTAACAATTGTTTATAATGATAAGAACCAAGTCTCATTGGGAAACACCTTGAAGGTAGCGGGGACTCAGGAGAGACCGAAGATCCAATTCACTGTTAACTCGCCTAATCAGGAAGCGGAATTGGAGGTATCGGAAAAGGATAGATTCTCCTTAATTTTGACAGATCCAGATGCGCCATCTCATTCTGATCATAAGTGGTCTGAGTATGCTCATTGGTTTGTTACTGACTTGCCATTGAAGCAGAGTACTTCTGATGCAGAGTCGTTAAGTACTATACTAGATTACAGCAAAGGTAGAGAAATTTTGCCATATCAGGGCCCTGCTCCTCCTCCAAAAACCGGAAAGCATCGTTATGTCTTTTTGTTATACAAGCAAGATCCGTCAGTTAAGTTTGAGGCTCCTCCAGATAGACCAAACTGGGGAACTGGTGTCCCTTCTTCTGGGGCCAGAGACTATATCAAAGCTCATGGGGGTGCTCTGAAATTATTGAGTGCAAACTTTTTCTACGCCCAAAATGAAGTACAAGAGTAATTAATTGTGTTTCTAATTGGTTTGTATGTATTCTTTAAATTTATGTATTTATACATTAAAAAATTACTTTTCAAGGCTTTCGAACTGAACTGTAGTCTTTCGGGCTAACAACCAATCCCTTGCCCTTTCTTGCTCCTCTATAAATCGTCTCTATTATATCAATTAGCTCCTGTTTATCTCGTATTAAGAAATTTAGTTTATTATTATTTCCCGTGCCAAAATCACACATCATATGTTTATTTCGATAAAAAAACATGATAGTACATGGATCATTTAATTCATACATGGTATTGAAGTCGGGCACTTCTTCGATATCACATAGATATATCGCAGCAAAGTTCTTGACTTTTTCTGCAATACTAAACAACAACTCATCCATGATCATACATTCCCGATCATAGTCCTTTCCAAATCTTATTATGACTAACCTTTCATCCTCAGACAATATTGCTTGATCTACATGCCATCCAGTATGTAAATGAGGTAAAAATACAGATCCCATAGCTATTTTAGTAGTACTAGTTAGTTAGATGATGAATTGCAAAGATTTCATTTTTTTGGCGCGATGAATTTACTATTTATTAGTTTTGCATCCACAAATATAGAGTTACATGTGGTTGATCACGAAGAATGACAACAACACAACAAACTTCAATTAAGCGCCACCGAAGCTGGTTCGGAAGGCACTTGAGTCAAAATGAGAATAAAAAGAATGAATTAGACGTTGAAAGCTATTCAAATGGTAAAGACTTAATGAATGATTTGCAACAACCCGAGAACATTTACAACACGAATTTAGTGAATTCTGAAGAAGAGAGAGAAGAGAAAGAAGACATACAAGAGAAGGAAAATATATTCTCAATTAACAGAGAATTAATACAGAAGGATATTGATAAATTAGAGTTGTGCAGTGATGATGATAGTCATGTCAATAGTGAGAGTGAGGCAAAGAGGAAGAACAGGTTTCTCAGGAACATTAAAGGCCTCTCTCAGAACGTCGATGATGAAGAACATACTACATGTGAGCCGGAAAGAAATGAAGATAAAGAAGATATCCTAGACGTCGGGCCTGAACAAGAAACTGATAGAGGACCCTCGGAAGCCATTTCTAGACCAAGGTCACAAAACTCTTTTGGCCCATCTGTAACGCCGTTAAGGATCCGTGATAATATAAACTATCTACTTGGGTATAGTCAACCAGAACCTGTACAAGAGAAGACAGAACTTGAAACGGAAAAGCAGGAAGAAGAAGAAAGAACTTGGATGAAACCTCAAAATAGAGCTTCCAGAGACGTTTCGAAGGCACAGAGCTTAATTGACAGGTATTCGGGAATACCTTGCAATAGATCTGCTCTATTAGACTGTAGGGAAAGCTCGGCCTTTATGTTTGAATTGAACTTAAGTCGTAAAAAAGACAACGATTACAGTTTATATTTCAAGTGGGCACTTTGGTTTGTAAGCCTAGTAGATGGCAAAAAGCGGTCAAACATTGACAGGTTAATTGAAAACAGCTTAGATTTGAAAATTCTCATCAAAGACTTCAAAAAGATTATAGAAAGCAAAGCCTACTACAAGTTTCATATCTTTAAACTTGGCCATATTCCAAATAGAACGTCTGCTGATCTTTTAAATGGAGATACATTGGAAGTAAGGGTACCTCAAGAGTATAAAGTTGAATTTACCAAAGAAGTTGTAAAGCTAGTATTAAAAGGAGACTTGTACAAACCACAATCTTTACAAAGTAAGTAAATAAAACAAAGTCCTCAATGTTTCGGCAATTAACCTTTCTTTTAGTTCCCATTTGCGGCATTTCTTTCAAGAATTTTGAATCCTACTCAGTGATTTCACTATGGTTGCAGCCACCTATGGATCCCACCTGCTCAGATAACTCAATAGCATTAAATGAAGTAATGGACTTGGTAGAATTCATAAAAGAATGTATGAGTGAATCCTTTCAATCTATCATTAATTCTGTGGTTCTTATGAATAATAGGACTTTTGCAACAACAAAGATTTTTGAATCTAATTGATCGAGGGAGCCATAGAGGAGTATGATCCCAGAAATAAGGAGCATACCCTATAATGATGCTTATTGCTGTTTCAATTTTATGATAGCTATAGTACTTGTTCACTTCAATTTTAGGAAGATTATGTAAGCGTCTGGGGTCAACTTTGTGAGAACAAAAAAAAGTTTATGCTTCACTGAAAAGATTTAGATCAAAGAATATTCACGCAATAAAATGGCATCTAGGGAGGAATATGACCTTGGAATCACTGCAGACATGCATGTACATCTTCGAGATGGGAAAATGATGGAACTAATCACACCTACTGTCAGGGAAGGAGGAATCTCTATAGCATATGTAATGCCCAATTTAGTACCTCCAATCACTACCTTAGATAGAGTTATAGAGTATAGGTCACAACTACAGAAATTGGCACCCAAAACAACATTCCTAATGTCATTTTATTTGTGCAAGGAACTTACTCCTGAACTAGTCGAAAAAGCTGCCCAACAAGGTGCCATAAAGGGAATCAAATGTTATCCCGCTGGTGTCACTACCAATTCATCAGCAGGAGTTGATCCTAACGACTTCACTGACTTCTATCCCATTTTCGAGACCATGCAGAAGAATAATTTGATACTAAATTTGCATGGGGAAAAACCTTCGACCCAAGACTCTGCGGAAGATATCCATATACTAAACGCAGAACCGAAGTTTTTACCTGCATTGGAGAAACTACACAAGGACTTTCCAGACTTGAGAATTGTACTTGAACACTGTACCACCAAGGATGCCATTGATATGGTTGAAAAGTTGAACAAAGATACAACTCTGGCGTCAGACGTAAGAGTTGCGGCTACGATTACTGCTCATCACCTTTCTTTGACCATCGATAATTGGGCTGGCAATCCTATTAACTACTGCAAACCCGTGGCCAAACTTCCGGAGGACAAGAGGGCTCTAGTGACAGCGGCAACCTCAGGTAAGCCTTACTTTTTTTTTGGCTCTGATTCTGCTCCTCATCCATTGTCGGCAAAAGCGAGACATGTTGGAGTCTGCGCAGGTGTATATTCTCAGAGCTTCGCCGTTCCATATGTAGCCGAAGTTTTTGATGCACAGAACTGCCTCGCTAAATTAAAACTGTTTGTCAGTGATCACGGCAAGCAATTCTACGGCATATCGGACGATGAAGTACGCTGTAAAGATAAACTCTTTTTGGTTAAACGATCATGTGTCGTCCCAGAAGCCTTTGGAAATAGCGATCTTGAAGTTGTACCGTTTAAGGCAGGACAAGAGCTCACATGGTCAGTAGAATGGAGATGATATTGTTCTTGCTCTCGACCATAGACCGGTTATCACGGGCCGCTTGAAAATTTCCCGACTCTGTCGTCAAAAGATCTTTTCATTATTGATTAGCTTAGATGTATCGTTGTATGCGCTACAGCACTTGTCTCTAATACCCCTTATAAAAAAATATTCAATCATACACAACGCATGCCTATTGTCAACCCACATGGATCTCTGTTACACAGTTTATTGCCTTGTAATTTTGTCTCGCCCGGCATATAGCTTCTATGTCAACCTGTCGTTCCCTCTTAGGGACTTATTGTGAACGGTAGATGCTGCTTCCCCTTTCTCCATGGCGCACTCCGCTCCAATAGTTAATAGTAACCACATGGGGGAACTACTCTACCCTCGGAAGAAACCATCTAGGGCCCAAATAACGAGCACGGCTCATACTTCGTTATCAGGGAAATTTTACCGATACATGTCGCACGGCATGGACTGAAATAATGATCGGCAGATTTTATTGGTCACTGCAACCTAAAAAAGAGTCTTCATACAGAACTTCAAGATACATTTATATCACCGCCCAAATGCAACCGAAGCACACTACTGTGCTGTACTGAGAAAAGAACGTGCAAGATCTCGCATTTCGTAGAGGGTCTATATAGTAGCGCACTGTCGCATATAGTTTAAAATATATAGTTACTAGCGAAAACGCCATATTAGGAGATCTACGCTGAAAAATAAGTGAAAATGGCTAGTAGAGATCTTCCAACGTCATTTAAGGAGCTCACCACTGGGTGGCTAGTACACGCCAAGAGAGAAATTACATTTAACAAGTCTAAGCAGGAGTTGATTGATAATGATATTCAAGACGAAGACCACGAAGCAGTTACGAAAGTGCAAGCTAAGAATCTTTGGCCAGCATTTGTCTCTGGAGCTGGGTTGTTTTCTGATGGATACGTTAACAATTCTATCAGTACTGCTACCTATTGTTTGGCAATTTTATATGAGGATGCTTACACCAATTCTAATGCCATATCAAACGTCTCTTCCATTGCTTTTGCTGGAACTGTTGTTGGAATGTTAGTGTTTGGATATATTTCAGATAATTTTGCAAGAAAAGGAGGCATGATGACTGCCAATGTCATGTTGATCTTCTTTACTGCATTATGTGCCGCAGGTTCATGGGGTTTGAATGGCAGTCCTTATGGATTATTCGCTGCTCTCACCACTTTCAGATTTTTCTTAGGTATAGCAATTGGTGCTGAATATCCCACATCCTCAGTCATCGCCTCAGAATTTGCTAACCAATTACCAAGTGGTAAAAGAAATAGATATTTCATCTGGTTTACAAATGCAATGATAGATGTAGGCTACGTGGTAAGTTCGTTTGTTCCTATGGTTCTACTTTGGATTTGCACCCCAAAACATCTTACACCAATATGGAGAATCACTTTGGCACTTGGTGCCATTCTTCCTATTTCCCTTTTCTTCATGAGATTGAAGATTAAAGATAGTGAAGCTTTTCAAAAAATGAATATGAAGAAGGCTAAAGTCCCATACTGGACAATAATCAAATTTTACTGGTTTAGATTAATAATTGTCTCTCTCATTTGGTTCCTTTACGACTTTTCTGCTTATTCATTCGGAGTATATTCTTCGTTCATTATTGGAAAAGTCGTCGGTGACGGAGATATGTATAAGACTTTTGGTTGGACCGTCGTTTTTAATTTATTTTATATCCCTGGTGCGTTCCTTGGTGCCCTTGGTGCAGATTACCTCGGTCCAAGAGTTACAGCAGGTGTTGGAGTAATTCTTCAAGCTGCGGTTGGCTATATTATGGCAGGCTGCTTTCCTCACTTGAAACATAGTATTGGAGGGTTTGTTGTCGTTTACGGAATTTTCACTTCATTAGGTGAGTTTGGGCCTGGTGATAATATAGGATTGCTTGCTGCAAAGACAAGTGCCACAACTATTAGGGGTCAATATTATGGAATTGCTGCAGCAGTCGGTAAAATAGGTGCTTTCGTGGGAACATGGGTTTTCCCAGTTATTCAAAAGAATGCCCTCAAGGCACGAGGATCAGACTTTGAAATGCAAGCTCCTTTTTATGTCAGTTCATCGTTATGTGTCTTTTCAGGTATTTTAATTTTTTTCTTCCTTCCTGCAGTAGGTCAGGATGCAGTTAATAGAGAGGATCAAGAATTCTTCGACTATTTGGAGGCTACTGGATATGATACCAGACAATTGGGTTATATTGTGGATCCGGAGAATGATTCTGCTTCTACGGATGAAGTCAAGAAGACTGAAGTGGATGTGAAGGTCGAGGCTGAATCGAAAACTTCTTGATTGAATTGAATTAGGGGCTTTCGCCCGTTTCTTCTATAATTGCTTTAATACATTAATTACTTAAACAACTTCAACTTATTTATTTAGTTATCTATTTATTGATATCTTTATGTATTGCGAAACACATATCCTTGAGAAATTAATCATTTATTGTAAAGGTTTAGTAGATTGATTTTAGATTTAGCTAGTATCTGACGTAATACAGAAAGCGCAAAAAAAAAAAAATGAAAATATAATGAAGGATGCGAGGTTCGAACTCGCGCGGACAATCGTCCAGCAGATCTTAAGTCTGCCGCCTTAGACCACTCGGCCAACCCTCCGTATTAATAAATTTAACTTTTCCGCAACATTAGAAGGGCTTGAGCTATACAATTATCTTCTCATCAGTTAATGTATTTATTAAGTAAAGAAATATTTATCGTTTCATGCAATGTCAGTATTAGAATTTGAACTTGTAGGAACACCATCTTCGTTTGCTTCAGAAGTCCAACCTATCCGTTTATTTAACCTTTCGTACCTCGTTCTATCTTTATCGGTAACGCTGGGAGATATGCTTAATAACGCCTTCTCAAAGTCGTTTTGCGTAACGACTACCTCTACTCCAGAAAGATCGTCTTCAAAGAAACCTGATTCATCTAAGTCTTTGATTCCTTGGTTACTGAAAAACTTCTTCTTCAAAGCGTTAACACCAGCTTCTCGAAGTAAGGATGAAAGATCAGCACCTGAGTAATTTCTACATCTTTCATCAAAAGCTATAGCACGCAAATCTACCAGGTCATCTAAAGGTGTTTGATTTGCACGGATTAATGTTTTTAAAATCTCTAATCTTTCCTCGTTGGAAGGGAGCTCGATATATAGTGTTTTATCCAATCTGCCGGGCCTTCTCATTGCAGGATCGATCATATCAGGCCTATTCGTCGCACCAATAACGAATACTCCACTTCTATCATTCAAGCCATCGAGTTCTGTAAGCAATGTGTTGACAACACGAGAACTTGATTCTGAAAGCGACGTGTCTCTCCGTGGAACGAGGGCATCTAATTCATCAAAAAAGATGATACAAGGGACAGAGGCTCTGGCTCTATTAAATACCTGTCTTACCGCCCTCTCTGATTCACCAACATATTTATTTAGTAACTCTGGTCCTTTGATTGAGATAAAATTAGCTCTTGATTCGTTCGCAACAGCTTTTGCCAACAATGTCTTACCACAGCCTGGTGGTCCCCACATTAATACACCAGCAGGGGCAGTTATTCCAACCTTTGAGTATAATTCAGGTTTCTTAATTGGTTGAACAATGCACATGTGTAATTCCATTCTGATTTTGTTTAATGCTCCAACATGCCTCCACGTAACGTCAGGGACAGTAGAAAATCCCTCCCTTTTAGCCGTTGGTTGAATGGATGGTAAGGCTGCAATAAAGTCAGAGTAGTTTATCGATAATGGTGCTAGTTGACTTTCAGTCAATGGATCTGGATGCTTAATGAGGAACTTTTGTATAATGGATAGTTTCTCGCCATCTGATTTATTTTCAAACCTCATATTAGATATTGAATTTGGAACCAAATTTGAGTTACTGTCAACATCCATTGAATCGAAATGAAGTTTATTAGCTCCTTTGTCAATTACTTCTTGCTCCTGCTCTAACTCACTTAAGCTTTCGAATATCCTTTTGATAGCAGCCAATCCTGCGGCGGTCACCAAACTTTTGAGGTCAGCTCCAACATATCCTGGAGTCAACTTAGCAAGCTCTTTGTAGTTGAATGAATCATCATCTTGAAGCTTTAAGTTCCTAGTCATAGTTTTCAAAATAGAGCAACGCTGTTCTTCATTAGGTACGTTGAGGCATATTTCCCTGTCAAATCTACCAGCCCTTCTTAAAGCTGAATCAAGAGAATCTGGTCTATTAGTGGCTCCTATAACTGCAACAGGTTTACCCCCAGTCTTTTCAAGAGTAAGCTCATCCATTAATGTCAAAAGCTGTGCGACAATTCTTTTTTCCATTTCTCTCTGTGCGCCGCCATCCCTTTTCGGAGTGATGGCGTCTATTTCATCCATAAATATAATACAAGGAGCCAATGACTTTGCCTCATCAAATATTTCCCTAAGCTTCTTTTCCGATTCGCCTGACATTCCAGAAACGATTGACGGTGCTGATATGTTTATAAAAGGTACCTGCAACTCGCCTGCTAAAGCGTTGGCTATCGTAGTTTTCCCACATCCAGGAGGACCAAAGAGAAGGATACCTCTAGGAGGCTCGACGCCTGTCGAGATATAAATTTCTGGGTGTAAAATTGGCAATCCAATAATTTCCATTAACTGGGTTGTGATATGCTCTAAGCCACCCAAGGAAGACAAAGTAACGGTTGGCGTCTGATATTCTATTTTTGCTTTGGATTTTTTGCTTTGGAGCCTGGTCGATTCTTTAACTTTCTTTTTTGACTTTTTCTCTTCGTCTTTCTCATTAGCGTTTTCTTCTGTGGTGACACCATTCTTGGATTCGGTATTCACCAGGTCCCATAAAGAAACTACTGACTTGTTGAGCGAGTTGTCATCTTTTACCTCAACAAGATCCTTCTCATCGACTCCTTCAAAATCACTATCTGCGAGCAGTATGGGCTCGGCGCCCAACTCTGAAAGCTCCCTAGCCTCGTCTTCTTTCACAACACGTAATACAGACTCAATATTCTTCTCTAGTTGTTTATTCTTCATTCTTCTCATCTGAAAGTCTTTCAACTGAACATAAGCCAAAACATCTGCGATCTTTAAATCTTTTGCCAATACAATCTCAGCCAACGGGTCATCGCTGTTTCCTCCTGCTTTCCTTAATTCACTCGTCTTCGATTGAAGCAAATCATGTATAAGATCATATATCCTCTGGTCTAGAGTCTCGGTTACAGACCTTTTCTTTGCCATCTTATGCTACTGTCAACCTTTATTTATTGATGTGCAATACAGAAATTTTTCATGAAGTGCAGATGAGCTCCATCCACATCACATGACATATCATGTGACAAGAAGAAAAGATTTATCTCGCTAAGGGTACGTTGTAGCAGGGTTGTTCTAGTGAACAATATTCTAGTGAACAAACGTGTGGCGGTCATATAAAATAGGGTCCAAAGACGTTGTCTCACCCCTCTCTCCTACTTTGAGCAATGAGAATCGAATCCCTGACCACAATTTACTTGTGAGATCGTAACATGGTCGCGCTATTTCCTAAAGAGGAATCGTGGAACACTTCCGATTGCTGAAAAGGCAGAAAGTTATAGCAACCGTGGAACGAAAGCAAACATGCAAGGCAATTTAGATCATTTCTTGCTGGAAAACTATTGGTTTCACAAAGGCTGAGTTTTACTTTGTACCATAATATCATACGTGGAATGTTCTAGCTGAATGAATGACAGCAAGCGCAAATTTAGCAAGTGTTTTTCAAACATATAAGAAGGGCATGGAATGGGGAAAACCTTAAGTCTTACTTTAACATTATAATAAAAACAATTTTAAGAATGTCTGACTTAGGAAGAAAAAACATCGGTGATAAAGTTAACGAAAAAATTACTCCAGACTCTGAAAAGAGTGGCTTAGAGAAGGCCAAGGAGACAGTTACTGGTAAAGCAGATTCTCTTGCTGCTGATGCAACTCCAGAGAATCAAAAATCTTTTTCTCAATCTGTCGCTGACAGCGTAAAGAAGGGTTCTGATGATGCCAAGAAAAACGCCGGCGACCACAAGGAGACATTCTCTGAGACTGCTGCTGACTACGTCGATAAAGCTAAGACTCAAGCTTCTAACGCCGCTGAATACGTTTCAAACGTAGTCACTGGTGCTGGTGAAGGTGCCAAGAAAGGTGGAAAGTAAGTAACACGATTAACGTGAGCATTCACTATAGATGAAAAGACTTTGTATTTGATATTGTACATGATTTGATTTATAGCTAGCAATATAAAAATATTAAGTAAAATGATTCCCATTATGTAGGTACGATTGTGACAAACAGCACATTAGATGTGGAACCACTAAGGTTAGACTTTATCGTAACTCTCGTAGTTTAAATCTGATGTAATTTTTGAATAGGCAGTTTTCATGTGCGACAATGTCGTAGTTGTGAGTTATTTGCGAAGCTCATCTCTCATATCCGAAAACCTATAGATTCTGCTAACTACGTTATTATGAGGAAAGCTGAAGAACCAAAAATTGCTACCAGCTCTTTACTAGGCATTGACTATAGTAATAATGAGCGCGATGATTCAGACCACTCTTCATCCTCGAACTCTCTAAATGAAGAAGAAGAGGATATAGAAACCTTGTCCGATGATGAGACTTTTGATCGTGACACTGAACTAAGGAGTAGAAATAAAAAGAGCCATCTTTTCCAAGAGGAGGTGGAAGATGATGAGGACTTTGGAGATGACGAATCTGTAGCTGGCGACGATATTGCTTTGGAAGATAAAGACCGAGGTTTAGATGTAACTCATATTGAATCCAGCTCAAGCATTGACACAAAATTAAAGAAAATGACTCCTAAGCAACTTGCGAAAGAAGAGAAAAGGATCAAGAGGACAGGGGTTTGTTACTTGTCTAGGATACCTCCATTTATGAAACCAGTCAAGCTACGTTCAGTTCTTTCTAGATTTGGGAAAATAGATAGACTATTCTTAAAGCCAGAAGATACTACGGTTTATCGTAAGCGAGTCAAGTACGGAGGAAATAAGAAAAAGAACTTCACTGAAGGATGGATAGAGTTTGTGAACAAGAAGGATGCAAAGTTATGTGCTGAGACCTTGAATGGTAACAAATTAGGTGGTAAAAAAGGTTCTTACTATTACGATGATGTAATTAATATTAAATACTTGAGTGGCTTCAAATGGTTCGATTTGACACAACAGATAGCTAAAGAAAACGAGATCAGAAATGCCAAGCTATCTCTTGAACTCTCCAGACAACAAAAACTTAATAAAAGTTTCATTCATAATGTTGAAAAATCTAAAATGGTGAACAACATAAAAAAGAAGAGAAAAGAGAAAGAGCATGGGGAAGGAAACGACGAAGACGTCGAAATGAGAAGAAATTACAAGCAGCGTAAAGTGACTAGTACCAGAGCAGATGCAAAGGAGGAATTAAAAGCATCTTCTAAGCCTAATGATAAGTTGCACAACGTCTTGTCAAAAGTCTTCTAATATATTGCATATTTATGTTTGTACATTAATAAAACTTAACTATATGATTAATTTACACAATGATAATGATATTTGACTTATCATGCAACTTTCTTTGGTCGCCGTTTATATCTTTTATTTTTATGAGAAACTGCCCCCCTCGCTTTCTTCTTCAACAATTTAAAATCTAATAGAAAATTAATTCTTTGTCTCAACTCATGTCTAGATGAACAACCAAGGCCCTGTAAGAGCACATCACTATTTAACAAGTCGTTTTTACTTAAGTTTGGAGAATCGATGACCTTCATCAATTTCAGCCATTTATCAGAAGACCATTCTTCGATCTCATTTCGATATCTAGAAAGCCTTTCAGGAGATCCAAGGATCTTCGGCAGTGAGGTATCGAAGGAAGTTTGAAAACCGATCCTGGACATTTCGTACTTATCAGCTAGCGATTCATGTTCTACAACCGATTGTTCATCTGTTTGTCTAAAAGCAGTCATATCAAGTGGACGTGAGTCAACATTAGAGTGATTTGAAGTTGCCCCTGGTTTCTTACTTAATCGAAAATCCAACTCATGTAAAATATCTTCCTGAGAGTCACTCAGTGTCAAAGCATCAATTTCAATGTCAGAATTAAGAATAGTTCCAGGGACAATGCTTTCAACTTCCCTCTCATCATCTATATCTTCTTCGTTATGTTGTGGTGATAGGATATAATTATTAGGTGATGTATTTCTGAGCGGGGACGGGTTTTTGACAGGTGAAGTAAATTTTATCGAAGGTGATCTTTTAATAGGAGATGATACTTTATGAGACGATGCATTTCCGCTATGTATCGCGTCACTGCTGTCTCGTATTGAGTTGATCGTCATATTAATTCTCTCAAGTAAATCTGCTCTTGAGATATCCTCGGGACCCTTGGGAGATGATTCGTTTCTTCTTTCTGAAGCCCTAGAATTCGGAAGGCTCTTCACTTCCGTGAGATTTTCTTTTTGAGATCTACTTGTCAGACTAGGAATGGGCGGCTCAAACTGGCCCTTATTTATATCTGAGGCACCGCTCGAGCGTCTGAGAGGTGCTTTTTGCGCAAGGTCACTCATGTGCTCTTCAGGATCGTTGCCTTGGACATCAAAGGGATTTCTTTTGGCTAATTCGATATCATCTGAATCTGAAGAATCAAATTCTATGTCATCATGTACAGAAAGCATAGCGCTTTCAACCAAATTGGGTGAGCTTCTGGTATTAGACACATGTTGGGTTTCGAATGACAACGACTTAGGCGGTCTCACTTTAAAACTAGTGGGGACCGATGAAACAACCTCAGTTGAAGCTAATCTACTCTTTGGAGTGAGATTTGCAATTTGTCCACTTGATGAGCCAACTCTAGACTTTGAAGCCCTTCTCGGAGAAAAATTGTTGTCTTCAGATATAAGTTTTTGACTACGTATAAATTCACCCTCCTCGTCTTCTTCGGCGTCCTCGCCCTGAGCATGTGAAGATACCTTTCTCGCAAAAGGCAGAACTCTCCTTGGCGTTCCATTTCTTGCTCCATACATAGATGCTTTTCTTGTACTTATAGGTGTAGAGATATTCCTGTGGAAAGATGTAGCTCCATTTTCATCGTTTAGAGGTAACTTCATAATCATATCATGATGTATTTCATCACTTCTATTCCTTGAAGTTGAAGAAAGCCCTTCTCGCTTCGTCATTAGCCCATTAAGAGAGTCTGTTTTTCTCATCTGATTCCTAAGTACCTTTGGAGTTTCCATTTGTGTATCATCAAATTCCAAGTCATCTCCATCGCTCTCATCAAATATGGATCCACTATTCGCGCTATAATGTATCCTCATCGGTTTACCTAAACTTTGGGTCTCGTGGGAATCATGAGCACTATATCGTCCTGAAAGCGAACGATTCTCATCATATGATCCCGATCTTATAGACATAATCCATACTATCCACTTGATTGGTGTTTTGATGTTGACTCGCAATATATTTTATATTAATTATATTTTGTGAACGCGCGCTCTTTATTATATCGCGAATTAGTGCTAGAGCGCTATATAAAATACGCTAACAATAAATTGAAACTTTTCATTGCGTTGTGCTATATATAATGCCTAGGTCATCAAGTCATTAAGAATATCAGATTCACAAGCATCATAGTCTATTCTATATAAGCCAAAAATTCGCTCGTAGTTAATTACGCTCAATGAGTCAAAGAACAAACGCAAGTTTGATACCGATTCTATTGTCTTCACTCCACTGAGTAAAGGAACTAAAGCTCCGCTAGGAGCATCAACTTTTATGGGATCATCTTTTAAATTTGTTAATGGCTTTTCGTTTGCTATTCTGTCGATAACCGAATAAAGGAAGCTCTTTGATTCACCTCGAGCAACATCTGGATTTGAAGTTACAAAAAGCCATTCATTCAAATTGAAGTCATCATATCCAAGTAAAAGAAGCTGATCTAACAACTTACAACTGCTTAGGATAAGCTTGAGCTCTGATTCATCTAGGGCATACAATTCCTTCGAGTTTTTCAATAAGACATACTCAAATATTTGCATTAGTTCGTGAGTTATGGTTGTCCATCTTGGTAACAAATGGAGCTCGCTGAATTTAAAAGTCAAGACTCTAAGTAGAGTGAAAATTTCTGCTTTATAAATTGGCGGGCAAGAGACCCCAAAAGAATATTCAATGCGATCAAACAACTCATCTATATTATTCAAAAAGAAGTCCTTGGGCTTAATCATCATGAGATATGATAATCGTCTAATAGTAAAGACCTTCAGTTCTACCTCCAAACTTTCACTCCAATTGAAAATATTCGCACTAGTACTGGAAACTGGAGGAGACACCTTATTAGTTAAATCTGAGAATTTATCTTTCTCAAGGCCAATCCATGTTCCAATCACGGGCTGCCAATAGCCTAACTTATTACTATTGCAACTAAAAAAACTGTTGTCCAGGAAAGAGTCATATACTAATGATCTCCATGATTTCGTTGGTTGATATTGTCCAATTAGGTGAAGTAGTGTGAGTGTCTTGAAAGATACTTCATTGATCTTCTTAGGTCTTATCCGCGAGGCCGCAAGCTTTGCAACAATCACATTTATTACATGTGTGACCTTGTCGTCATCTTGTAGAATTTGAGCCAAGTCTTCTAAAATGACAGATAAAGTTTCAAGGAGGTCGTCTTGAGACATCAAAGTTTCCGAATTTTGAGTATTGTCCTCCTTATTATCATTGAGACCTTCCTCTGATGGTAGACCAACTATTCTATCACTTACCGCTGAAGTCAAAAGCTTGACAAAGATTTCTGAGCTCTCTCTCTTCTTTTTTCTTTGGTCTACTATTTTGGAAGAGTTTATTTTTAAAGACAAAGTTTTAACAACTTTTAATAAATCAGGTAAGGTCTCCTTAAATTGAGAGGTATGTGCGAGTACTTCCTTGAGAAACTGAGTCAAGGGAGCCCATATATCTGTCATGGTATCTGCATCCACAGACTCAAAATATGAGGCTAGGAAGTGTGATAACCTTCTTGAATCAATTGGAATATTCAAAGACGACTTCTGCTTGTCGCCAAGCAATTGAGGATAGCACCTACTAGTGATAGAATTAAGCAAATGAGGAAGTGTAATCTGTGATCTCCCCCCATCCAAAACATTAAGTAGTTTTATGCATGAGTTTATATTAGTCGAAGATTCGATGAGGGTCTCAATCACTTCTTGCCTCTCTAAGTCCATCAAGGCACTAAGAAGCTTTCTGGTTCTGAAACGAAGTTTATGTGCCAAGTATGTTAAAGATCTATCGGCCGAGTATATATCATGCTCATTAGATTGTGGTTTAGAGTCTGCCCAGTTCCATATTAAGAAAGAAGTCTTGACAGCATCCTGAAACGAGATTAAAATAGAATAGAGCTTATTTTGTTCCGTTGTTCTGACAGCTGGTGACTCTATTTGGAATACTCCTTGGATTACGTTCCCTAAGAAACCAGATTCCGTATTTTGAAGATTGGCCCTGTCAGCATTGCTTTTGATACTTGAAGTCATCAAAAAGCTGTGACTGATTGAAAGAAGATCTTCTAAGCCTGTTAAAAGGACATTTATGGCCAGCTCGACGTCGGTCAATTCAACGGCAGGAACAGTCGATTCAATTGAGTTGAAAATAGATTCGATCCTTTTTATTATTGAATCATTTAAAGTCAATAAAACGCTGAAAACAGAATCATTAAATAAGTATAGGGCTCTCGTAAGAAGAGACATCCAGTTTTCTAATAAAATTGATGTTTGTGCTTTCTCAATTCCTTTAATAATAAACCTAATTAGTCGAGAATCTTTACTTTCGTCGTCAATATGCAAAAGGTTCAAATTGATCTTCAGGTCTTCTGAAAGCTTCAAAAAATGGAAAATACATTTTAGGAATTTCGTTTCCACTAATTCAATTTGAAACGGCCGCTTCTCTGAAATATCAATATAGTTGAAGCAGGAGTCGATTAAAAAATAAAATTTCTTGAGAAAATCAGCCTCATTGCCTGTTATTAAAATTGAGAAGAGTTCCAACGAACTGTTCACTGAATCGTAATACTCTCCTAAGCACTCCTCGTCATGAAGAAATTCTTTCGACAATTTTAAGTTGAGATACCTTTCGATAACATTTAGCACCAAAGATTTATAGGTGGATATATCCCACTCATTTGAATGAACAAGTTTGACTTTTGCTTCATCATCAATGGCGGCAAGCTCATTATTGAAAGTTTCCCTGCAAAGTTTTGAATTAGTTTTAATAACGTCAGCGACCGTGCTCAAGTAATAACTGAATCTCCCAACGTCATCATCAGTGATCAAAACACTTTCATTTGCGTTCAAAAATGTAAAACCAAGTAATGGTGAAGTTATGAGTTTCAACAATCTATTTGCAGATCCGCTTACTATTACATGATTCACGAAAGAGTGAATGGGTGTATAATAATAGGAATCAGCATCATGAAGATCGTCTAGAAGCAAAAGCAAAGGCTTTTTTAATATAGAGTCTCCATCAGCAAAAGATGACGAGTGGGTCCATAAAGCCAAGAAAGCCCTGACTCTCGTATGTCTAGACGATTCAAGTAGTAGATGCATAATACCGGCTTCAATGTGATCACCTGGGCAGCTAATTCTTAAATCAAAAATTGCTTTTACAGACTCAACTTGATGGTTGGTTGGAAGGGACGAGATTAACGCAGTCCAGAGGTTGGTCAAAATTATGCGTAGTATTTTGCTTTTATCTATCAAGCTCAAGTGCTTGTGAATAAGGTTGAAGACTTTAGTTATTGTGAGGGTAGTTAGTAGGTTGGATTGCTTCTCCTCCTCCGTTGAAAGCTTTGTTATAATGCTATGATTTAACATGGTCAGTGCAATATCATTATACCAGGAAATTCCTAAATCATCTTTTGATACCATATTTAACACGTCACAGTACATTCCTCCGATACGCCTCGAAAATCTAACATCATTAATGTTATTTATATAGAATCTCTGCAATGCACTCAATAATTGGGTTGGTAAGTTTTCTTCAAACCTAAATTTTGCAGTTTCTTGCCTTATAGCAGCGGAATAGTAACTTTTAATGTCTTTCTCTAATTCCTCTCTGGAAGGAATCTCAGTTGGAGGATTCTCATCTATTGAAGCAAACGATTTTTGAGGTACAAATGAAATGAGAATCTCAAGTATGTCTAGAGTTTTATATGTTACATGTCGCCCAACTAAAAGAGAAAGGATGGACAAAGGTACGTGCTCCACAATAATCTCTTCCTCGTTAAAGTTGAACGTTCTCAACACAAATTCAAGGAAATCTAACTTATCATCCTCGCCATCAAGAATGATGGTATTGATATCATTCCATATATAGGATGTCTCTACACCATCAAAGAAAGCCTGTGCAGAACTTATAATCTCCGGTTCATTCTTATTTTCATAGCAAGCTCTCAAGATTGGGGAAAATATTAATGGGGTAATTAAATGGCTAATTTCCCATTTATCTATAATGAGTGATAATGATATTTTAAGACCTTCTTGTTTTTCAGAAATAGAGTGGCCTTCCATCATCTTGAGCAACCCCGAAGTAATGCTTTGCAACCCATATGATTCAAAATATTTTGCTCTCGCCAATTGGTTCGGAGTCTCCAGAAGAGTTGGATCATGGTCGGGCCCAAGTAGCCAGTTCCAAAGTCTTCTATTCAAGCTCATATCCTTTTTAAGAGTGACCTTACAACATGCCATTAATAGTAATTCTTTATCTTTTGTTGTTATAAGTTCATTTAAAACGTCAGAATTCAAGGTCAAACGGCTTGTAAGCAAGTCAAGGAACCCCCGAATAACAATGATATCATTTGCTGGGTTAAAATGCGTAACTGTATTAACAGATGTTGCAAACAGTCGAATCAAAAGACCAGATTCAGGATCTAAGCATGCTTGAGCTTCATCAGACAACTTATTCTTCTCACTAATTTTAATAGAAGTGAAATCTGGTAATCTTTTGTTGCACCAACATAATGCTCCAAGCCTTTTCTCTGGGTTTTCAATTATACTTAAAAACATGCTTTGCCAAAAATGCGAATCATTTCCTAGCTTGATTTTGAAGGTGTCTAAAATAGATAAGACATCTCCAAAAACTTCTGAAGTTTCATCTTCTAAGCCTGGTAATAAACTAAGAATAATAGGCCTCGAAATAACATTAAGGTTTGCGGATGTTATATCAACTAATAAATGTTTCTTATAAATTGCTAACAATTGAGGCTTCACTTGTATTGAGCAAAACGATAGCACTGGTAAAAGACCTAAAAGCCATATATCAAGAGTCTCGTTGAATGCTTGCTTCGTCAAAGCATTGAAAATAGACTCATAAATGGTCAATGTCTTCTGATGTACGCCATTAGGAAGTTTCGAAGATAAGCAAAGTGAGAGCTTCTTGGCAACCTGTGCCGCTTGCGGAATCCATGCCACTGTATGGTGGAGTCTTTTATCGTCGCTCAATTGAAGTGCCTTCTGTAATCTAGACAAAAAAGCGATGTAATCGGCCCATTCTTCTAAAGATTCAAATGATGAGAGTGCTTTTTCAACTTGTTGAATATACCTTCTGTCTTTTGACGACAACTGAGAAATATCTGTCTTTGTTATCCCAAATGTTGGGATTGTCTTTAGACTATTACTCTCTTTCTTAGTGCCATCCATACTATCTATGGAACCTGCCACTATTTGATGCAGCTAATAACGTGAGGTAGTGTTTACTTATATACCACGTCGACCGCAGATTTATATCTATATACATATATGCAGTGCTGATCACATCAAAGTATAAGAAATATATTTACAAGCTTTAAGCATTAATCACTAATGAATTCAAGCAATATTCTATTTGGCTTCATACTTTCATTTGAACTTATCTACGTAGGTTTATCTATAAAATACCACCAATGAATTTTATAACATCCTTAAGCTCCTCTTCGCTAGCGGAATGTGCAACGCCACTATAAGTATGAAATTTCAACCTTCTAAACACTAAAGCATTGTAAAACTCCGAACTTTCTTTTCCAAAGTCATAAGCGATTACTGGGTCGACCGTTCCATGACCCTGAAAGACTGGAGTCTCGGCATTGACACCGGATTTGTTGTATAATCGTTCAATCTGAGATTGAATGGAGCAAAAGCCCGATAAAGCAACCACACCGCCAATTTTGAAGTCTAACAATGCAGCTGTAGCTAAAGATATTGCAGCTCCTTGAGAAAATCCTCCAATTATTATCTTTTCGGCTGGAATTTTATTTACCTCCATCTGTTCCTTGATTAGACTCTCTAATAATTTGCAGCTTTTCAATATACCGTCTACGTCCTGCTTAGCATTTGGATTGCCAAATTCAAAGATATCAAACCAGCCTGGCATCATGTACCCACCATTGACACTAATTGGAATAGTTGGCGCATTGGGAAACACATACTCAATTGAGTTGCAATTGGGTATCAAGTTGCTCTGTTTTATCAACTGGGGAAGCCAAGACCACCCTTCACCAGTGTCCCCAAGACCATGAAGGAAGATTATAGCTCCTTGAGCGGTCCCTGTGAGTGCCTTGGTTCTGACCGCGGAAATCATAAGCAATAACTATTCTCTGTGGACAAAACTTTCCACAAAATTATTCTTATTTACTGAAAAAGAGAGTTAAAATTAGTTTCTGTCTCTAAATATATTTCGATAGGATATGATTTTTCTTTAAATACTTAAGGGTCTAATATTGACGAAAGCCATAGCTACTTTTTTTCATTATTATAAATTATATACAGGTATGGAGTCCATTAGTTCAAACTTCAGCCTTTTTAACATTTAAGCTTGCCAAAGGGGCCTCGGCCTTTCTTTTAAGGGCACGAAGCGATTCGGAAACCTCTGTTCCACGATCTCCTTTTGTATCTGCAGCGACTACTAAAACTCTATTATTTTGTTTTTCACCGTTAACTCTTCTGAAGTACGGTTGGCAGCGCCAATATGGGATAGATTTATAACGACCTCCCCAGCTTTGAAGTTCGCCATCTTTTATAACATCTATATCCTTAATGGTAGGCAGTTCGTATATTTTTTGTACCCTCTGTTCCACTTCAACAACTATTTTCTCCCATTCATCAAAAGAAGCATGAACGCTAGTTCTTCCAATGAGAGGCCTCATATCTTTATTCTCTTCTAAGAAAGCATGCAATAATTTAAAAAAGTGGGCTTTAATCGCATGTCTAGATGCTTCCCCAGGACATTGCTTAACAATTTCGAAGTACTCTCTTAGCATTTTATCGACTCTTGCAAATTGCTTATCAATGCTATTATCTTCAGTCCAGAAAACACCAGGATTATATAAATTTCCTTCGGCTGACATGACCGCGTCGGATCCAACTTCTTGTCTGCATCTTGCTAAATCTTCAGGATAAAGTATGTTACCGTTTGAAAAGAAAACTTGATCCGAAGGTAAACCATCTTTCAAATATTTGAGAATCTCCCAATTTGCCAAGCCAGTAGCTTGCCCTTTCATTTCCCTTGTTCTGCCGTGAATCGTAATGAACTGCGCTCCAGCATCAAGAACCATTTTTGCGTATTCTAAAGACTTTTCCCAATCATCGTATACCCTTATTTTAGCTGTCACTGGTATACTCAAATTATCGTGCAAATTTCTGATCAATTTATGAACCAAATCCCAATCATCCATCAAAAATGCACCATATTTGCCTTTCTTGGCAATTCCCTGTGGACAACCTAGATTCAAATCAACTGCATCACATTTGTCTTCGATCTTTTTAGCAGCCTGTAAAAGATATTCAGGATCATTGGCGCAAAATTGGACAATCAAGGGTCTATCATCTTTTGCTCCATCTTTCTCAGACCACATATTTTTCCTATACTTTTCATCTGTGGCAAAGAGCCTTGCATGAAACATCGGTGTGTAACACAACTCGGCTCCGTATCTTCTTGACAATATTCTCCATGCTAACTCGGATTGGTCGACCATTGGAGCAACCACAGTTTTAGGTTCTCCAATGGACCTGTAGAGTTCTCTACCTTTCAATTTACTTTGAGTCATGAGTTTTCGCCAGCTTTGGTATTGAGCGCCAAAGATTGATACGGTGACTTTTTTAAACTTTAACACCTTGACTTTTAGACTGTTATCACCTTAAATCTGGCACTTCTAGTTATCTTCTCCAGATGATCATCTGAAAGGAACCATCTCAAAATTATTTTTTTTTTTTTTTTTTTGCTTTCTTTTCTTTTTTGATTACGGTTCGCCTACAGTGGATTAAACATAATAAACTTAAATCTATATTATACAAGAAACGCTATAATAAAATTAATTCGTGGTCGATTTGAGGTCAATTGCACGATGTTTAAGAGCATCTGCAAAAGTCATTGAAACTGGCCATACAGGTACATCAGCCAACACTCTAATTCCAATATAAAGACATTTCGAGCCTAGACATATGCTCTTGAAAAACTCAAGAATCTTCTTATCTGGAGCATTAAGGGAGATCAACTTACTTATGTCTCTATGCTTTACTGCAACTTCTAAAGTTTCATCGAGATGAACTTTAAGAAAGTCTGAAAATGAGTTGTTATCGTAATGTGGTGCGAGCACATATTCAATTTTTGAAAGTAATTCTTGACACTGAAGCCATTTTACTTTATCGAAAGCTGAAATACAGCCGTCCAAATCCTCAAGGAGATTCAAATACGTGGCCATAACGAGAATTGAAACAAATGCACAAGAAACGAATAATACTGGAGTCCTCAAAGATGTCATTTTAGCATCACTAACGACAGATATATTGTACACCCATAGCCTTAATATATCTAAAGCATAATCCACAGATTCTCTCAATTCCTCTTTGTTATCTGCTATTTTTTTTAAGCTATCATTCATACCCTTCCAGTTTTTGGAAAAAATATTTTTCAAGCTTGACGTGATATTTATCGCCAATCTTATCTTTGCAAGAAAGTATAATGGTAAGATTAACCCAAATTCTTCACGCGTGTTTAAAAACTGTTTGTTAATGTCATTTATCAGTAAAGACCCACCTTTCCTTATAAATGCATATTCCCATGATTTTATTAAAACTTCAAGCTTCGGTCTTGCCTTGAGTCTCCATTCCACCATGGAGAATTCCTTTGACATCATCTTCGACTGCTCTTCTTGGATTTTCTCATGTATATATAAGAGTAAAGAAAGTAAATTATTAGAACATACTTCGTTATTCATGTTGTGCTTTCTCAAATCATCGATCAAATCTAATGTCGATTTGCCATTACAGATATTTGTGATCGGCTCTCTCAAGTCGAAATTACTAGCTTTGAGCTCTTGAAGCCACTCAGTCGGATTCTCGCTTCTCCATAGGCTTTCTTTGGCACAATAACTACCGCTTTTTATTTCGCTAAAAGGAAACGTTATTGGGGTGCCTAAAAGGCAGCTTCTGAAGACCTCGAGCATATGAAACACATGAATTGTTCTTATTCTCGATTGAGCTTCAATAAAATAATTGAAATTCTTTTGAACAACAGTAGGATCATAGCTGGCCATGTTAGGTGGTGGAGGTGAAATCTGCTCTATAGGTTTATTAAAGTTTGTTGATAAAATAAAACCAATAGTAGATTTGATTTGCTTGGTAGTTATTTCAGCCATCTTCGGTTCATTTAAGAACAAAGATATGAATATATGTAATACCAAGCATTGGTGTGACATCAAGGGGACAGGTTTTACCTGGATATTATCTAAGCTTATTTCGTTTTCAAAAAAGCTTTGAATATAAACTTTTGACAAGTTAAACAATAATATTACATTTAAACTGTGGTGCGAGTATAAGGCTCCGATGGCACTCATTGATAGTAACAAAGGCAAATTATCAATTGTTTCAGTCATTGGATTTTTCAATGTTGGCAAGTGAATGAAAGGAAAATATTTGTTAAATTCACGTTCATATAACTTCAAGTACCTATTCATATCTTCAATGGGAGGAAACTGATCCTCTTTTAAGTTGCTTTTCCGCATGATGTAATCTCTAAGTCTTTTTGAGAAAAACACTTGTTTTTCAATATCGTTCATATTCACTTCGCTGGTTCCAATATCATTAGATGATCGCTTACCATTTGAATTTACTTCTGTTGGACTGATATTCATTTGCTTCGCCAAGTCCATTTGCCTATATTTGAACAAGGAAGATATATCATCATTCTGGGAGTTAGGAGACGGTTCACCGAGATAAAATCCTGAGAATCCAACATTATGAGATGCGGTTGGAAAGTTTAATTCATATGGGGTATTTATAATGTCCTTTAGCCAATCTTCTTCTGGGATTGTATTTTCTAGCTTGATTCTTTTGGAATTTTCAGACTTCGGTATTTGTTCTTTTTTTGACTTTTTATCATCAATCGCATTTTTATTTAAATTGAATGAAGCTCCATTCAATACTTCATTATTCATGTGAGGCATAGCCGTAAAATCATTAGGTGGATTCATTCCAAATTCAAATGGCGTTGTTCCCTTTATATGGTGAGGGTGATTTGGATTTTGAAATTGATGGGTTGCAATGACATTGAGATCGAAATATTGTTGCATATTCTTCATTGATCTTTGCTTACTGGACAAGTGAGCTAGATCTAAAGTAGAATTGGAATTTTTCATTTTTCCTTGTAAAGAGCTTCCTAAGTCCAATGAATCAATTCCATTCCAGTCTATATCCAAGGAATTTAAATCAGTGTCACCATAAATTGATCTGAGGTTATCAGGATCAAGTGGTTGCGGAGTTGCAAAGTCAACTTGAAACGGAGCTTCAAGCATTGCATTATTTTGTTGGATAGTAATTGCATCCTTCATATTCGTATAAGAAGCACCTGAAGCAGCAGAGAACGACGCATGTCGAAACTGTTGTTGTCCCTGCATGGGCCCAGTAAAAGTAAATGCAAAATTGGGGTTAATGTTCTTATTAGTTGCTGCTTTCTTAGGCGATCCGGTAGATATTGTTTGTGGAGATAGGTTTTGGTTATTTTCAATCGAGTTATTAGGAACTGCGGAGTTCTGCATCATCGGAGGTGTATTCTGGTTCGAATGGGTAGGTATGGGAGATGGAATAACATTATTCGGTGAGCCTGATTGAGGAAAGCCATATTGATGATTGAATAAAGAATTTCGTAGCAGATTACTCTGTCCATTCAACCCCAACTCATTTGTCCGTGGAGGAGAATATAGTTGAGATTGTTTAGGTGAATCACTCTTATTACTGTTCCCATCAAAAGACAATCTGGCACCCGGTAATGGTGCCTTCGCATCAGTATTATTGTGCAAAATGTTGATATGCTCTGTCTGGTCATTGTCTTTAGCTGACCCACGCCTCAGAATGTTTGGCAAGCTAGAATGTAACTTCTGTTGATGCCTTAATACCAAGTCCCTTCTAGCAAAACATCTACCACATGCAGCGCACTGAAATGGTTTTTCATTGGTATGTGACCTTTCATGTCTTTTCAAATGCTCTAATCTTGCGAACGCTCTAGTACATACCGTGCACACATGTGGCCTCGGTTTATCTGTCTTAATCTGCTGAGATTTCTTGGGTATCTGCTGGACTCCTTGAGCTGCAACGCTACTTTTACCAGGACCCTTCGGTTTATTAGTACTTTGAGTCAGCATCGTAACTATTGCACTTTTTTTATTCAAGTATTGTAGCTCTCAATACTAGTAGTTTTGTATTTCCCCTACACTGTTTGATAGAAAACAGGCTCTATTATCTCCTTCTACTAATGAGCTGATTGAATTTTGATTTTTCTTCGTTCCGCCTCTAGGCCCGTTGCAAAAGAAAGTTTGTATTTTGTTGGAAAAAAAGGAAAAAGTTCACTGGTATAGTGCCAACACCATTCACTACCGAGACGAAGAGAGTAACTGTACTTTTCTCGTGTAACGATGCCTTTATTAAATAAACACAACTATCTATATGATAACCTTCACACGTCACGTAAGGTATAAGATTTTTTTCTTCCCAGAGTAGAGTTCTTCCCGTGAGAAACATGACTGCTCTTTCGTTGATGGTGCTCGGAGTTCGGGGGCAAATATACGACTCCGACTTTCAAATCTGCCATCGTGGGGCAGTAGCTACTCTTCATGTTTAAGAGGATTTAGTAGAAAAGAAAGGAGGAGATCAGTTTCTCTTAGAAGAAGTAGTACATGCTCTAGTCCTATGGTATTTCGTTAAAATTATTATGGTAAAGGAGCAGTTTTACCTTGTTGAGAGAGTCCAAGAATCGGTCGTATTTCCCCGTACAGTTCAAGACCGCCGGGAGAAGCAGAATTTCCATAAATATCTTCAGTAGATGACAAGCCATGAAGCTAGAGAACATTCTAGTGACAACCGGCTCTGTTGTCACCTTCTTGCGTCTCGTAGAATATGCAACTGAGGTTGAGTTCCTAAAGAGCTTGATAGGCATAGGCGTAAAGAGACTAGTCGTCCAGTATGGAAACGAAAAAAGACATGAGAAACACGTTAGCAGAGATGTTTTCTTGAAATCATTGGAGGATTCAGGTGCTAAGGAGAAATTTAAATTGGTTGAAACGGCATCGGGTGTATTTCGGTCAGACTTCTATGACTTTGAGCTCGTTGCATTTGCGTATTCAAATGAACTAGAAAGGTTCATCAACGATGCTGACATAGTGATATCCCATGCGGGCACAGGGACTATTATTGATGTTTTGAGGCTCAATAAGCCTTTAATAGTCGTTACAAATACGAGTTTGATGGATAATCATCAAGAAGAGGTTGCTAATGAATTTCAAAATTTAGGGTATTGTCTCAAAGTAGCTGACAAGAACCTTCATTATGAAATGCCTACGTGTATCAGATCTATCCAGGCGGATAAATGCAAGCTTAGGGCCTTTCCACAATCCACCAACCGAGTTCTTGAGCATATAATTTATGAAGAATTGATTTATTAAAGCTCTTAGATATGGCATGTCAACAGATTCCTGTAAAGTAAATGCTATCAGTAAACACTGACTCTCTGTATCTGTCCGACTACGCTTACTCTCGACTTCTGGAGGTTCTGGAGTTTTTTTTCGAATAGTTTTCATTGTGTATATGTGTGACTGTATATATGGGACTTTAGGTCCACATTTTATCATTAATTCATATTAACTCTTTTCACTATACAAAGCGTTTGAACTTCTTTTCAAGTATGAGTTACCCATTTCCTTCCACATATAGTGGGCAATATTACACAAGCACAAGTAGTGGTAGGAGAAAAAGAAGGCAAAGGTTATTCTCTAAGGATATTGAAGCATTACTTTACTCCCTAGGTGATGGTCCCGTTTGTTCGGATGCTACGATTAATACTGTTGAAGATGTATTAATTGAATATTTAATGGACTTGAGTCAAAAAACTCTACAACATGCGAGGGCACAAGGAAGATCACGTATAAAGCTAGATGATTTGCCCTTTGCGTTGAAGGACGACCCTTTGAAATTGGCCAGGATGGAATATATTCTAGATCAGAGCGCAAGAATTGAAAAAGCGAAGAAGATATTAGACGACGATAAAACTATTTACTATTCAGAAGATGGTGTAGATAATGGAGATGATGATAATGTGGAAAAGACAGAAAAGCACGATCAAAAAAAGAGACGAAAGAAAAATACGACTACAAAATGAAGAATGAGATCGCTTAGTATTATCTAAGCCTATATATATAATATATAATTTACTTTAAAGCTCTTTGCATAACATTGTTTAGTCATCGTCATCATCATTATTATCATATTGTATGTCAATATTCTCCACAGCTCTTCCCCTTACGTATCTTTCAACCTTGACCTTCTCGCTCATGTTTCTGAATAGCTTGAAGACACCCTTAATTGATTTTATACATGCAAAAATCAATAGCGAGATGAACCAGATGTAAATATCACCTTCGTTTACATGTTCAATCACAAAGCTTTTATGGTTCAAAGCCATGAGGACCAATGATGGAACGATAATTAACGAAAAGTCAAGGGCAACTGATATAAGATCACTCTTTATCAAATGATTCCTATTTTCTACACCTTCTGCTCCTTCAACAAAAGCATACTTTAGAGCAGCTATGAGATAATTCAAATATGGAACCATGGTCCAGATAGAAACAACCAAATGAATTGGAACCGTCCTTCCCGTAATTAAAAAATCTGAAAAAATATTACTTTCACGTTCAAATGTATTCCCAGTGTAAAGCCTAGCAGGAAAGTCAATGCAGAGCTTATGAACCAAAAATATCCAGACTATCCATAAAAATGTCGATAAGCAGTATGCAAATACTGATGTTAAAACCCCATCTCCCACTACAGGAAGCCATTCCCTAGCATCATCAAAAATACCTTGTTGGTTTGCAGCACCAGGAACTTCATTACCACCATTGTTAGAAGCAGGTGCAAAAACCATTTTATCTAACAACTTAAGCAAGGTTAGTTCGACCATCAAGCCCAATGATATGGAGCTTAAGTCTGCGAGCCTCCAATCAAAAGTTGATCTTGTTGTATCAAATATGTCAGGTAATTTGAAGTGCTCTGACAGCGAAACAATATCATACAAGATTGCTCCAGCTCTGACAATTGGTCGACCCATAACAAGTGCCACTAGACCCATAATCAAAATCAAAAGAGCTGCGAAGATCCATAACATGACTATCAAGGCCAAACATCGAAGTTTGAAATTAGGCGCCCGATAGACAATAGTATAGGCATCATCATTACTAACATCATTATCTGAAGAATCCGAATCATGCTCCTCCCCAATATTGTTAGTGTTAGTCTCATCCTTCGGAGATAAGAGCTTATCATCTCTGGTTACTGGCACAAACAATTTTTTAATAAATCTTCTGGATACAGTGTCATTGTCAGGAACCCTTACATACGTACCATTTGGCACGAAGCATGCATTGACATCTGGATTTTCCTTGAAGATTTTTTGAGACTCCCTATAAGTGACTGGGTTCGAATAATCAGGTTCACTTGTACCAAAAACCATTTGTAAGATATTTCTGTAAACGACATATCCACGCTCCAGAGGGATCTGCTTATCCAAAATGAAATGTGACAAACGTAACTTGTGAGACGACAATTCGAAGACTCTTCTCCAAAAATACAAGCTGTACTTGGTGATGAGAGCTTTGCTCATCAATATTCTACCTCCAACCAAAGAAGCAAGGGAGTATGCAAATATCGAGGGATGATTGAAGGGAAGCAAAATATTGTAAGGAATTCCCTTCGGAGGGGTGACCAAATATCTCAAGCCCCATGTAATACCACCAATCCCAATCAAAATAAAAGCGGTGTAAACCTTCGCACTCAAGTATATACGGCTCAATTGTAGTGACAAAGGTTTTACCAAGGCATCATGAATAAGTCTAGCATTTGGATCATCCGGAGACCTGATAAAAAATAACACTCCTGGTCTCAAAATCTTTCCTCTTACCATACCAACAAACAAGGCAAAAAATAGCATGTAAAGGGTACCTGATGCCCAGTAAACTATAATTCGAATATAAGTTACCTGTAATGTTTCAGCCTGTGAGGAGACAAACATCATTATTTTGTAAGTGTCATTATCATTAACTTTCTCAAAGAACTTCGAAATAAGTAAAGGAGCCATGCAAAAATCCAACAACCAGCCACAATAAACTGGAAAGAAAAAAATTTCAATTGCAAAAATGAGGAACACTTTAGCAGTTGAAACAGCTTCAAACAAAACTTTATATATTTTTCTTGGAGTTCCAGTGGTCGGCCCTGTTGTTGACACCAAAGTATCCATGAATTTTAATACTCCAAATAATATAATGCTGTATCCAAAGGACAAAAGTATTGTCCTTTCTACTAAAGTTGGAGGAGAGCCATTGTGATCAATGAACAAATTATAAAACGTTTTCAATAAAGGCTGGCCCAAAGTAGTTGCCACCGACAGTGAAAAAATTTCCCCAATAGTTGTTCTGTATCTCTGAAGTATACCGAATTTAGATATAAACCCTAAAATGTCATACCTAATGCTAAGGAGAGAAGAAACCTCGCTTAAAATCGGCGCAAAAACAAACTTGATTAGTTCTCTAATGATACTCACGAACAAATTCCCCAACATGTGAGGTATCAAGTAAGTTAGAAACAAATATATGGCTATAATTGTGTCGCACATCGCCATAAGTATAAAAGGGGTACTCAAGTTCAAGCTCATACCTAAGAGCTCAAAAAGATTCCCATTACCAGCATTATTGGCAGCTGCACCAGCATCAATATCATCTGGCTCTTCTTGAACAAAATCTCCGTTAAACAAGTTGTTCTCACCTTGATCTATATCAGGAAATGGCATTGGATTTAGAGGAGGAGGTTGAAGCAATTCATCATCAAGGTGCTCATTGCCTCTTTCTTCGTTCTCCTCCTCTTCATCTTCAACTAAACCTCTACCATTGTTCGTATCTCCAACTGATGTCTCAGATGGAAGAAATATAGTTGTTCCTTCATTATCTGCCTCTGTTTCAGAAGCATCGCTATCAAAATCTCTGCTTTCATTTGCTAGCAAACTATTACCGGCTTGATCATTAGTTGCAGATAAATCATTGACTCCCCCTTCAATAGCTCTTCTCAAAGCTTCCTCATGATAATTATTAGTTGGGTGTTCTTGAAGATCGTTAATTGCCCTCGCAATCATTTCCAAATGTTGAATGTTTGCATTCGCATCCCTGTTACCATCTGCACCATCTTGTCTCAACCCTGATAATGCTTGTTGTAACATATCAACTAATTTAGTTCTTGGTTGCTTCCCAATCCTCTTCAATAAAAGTTTAGTATAACCTTCATCTCTGACAACCCATTCATGCTCGACAAACAATGCAATATGAATAACCACGTAAGTTAGCATATATCTAACCCCACTGAAGTAAGTGTAATCAAAGAACATTCTCGTTTTCAAGAGAAGTAACATGGTTGGGCCCGTGGTTTCGTATTCTTGCATATTTAGTCCTCCAAACATCAAGGCATCTTTAAGCGTTGGATTTACTGCGGGCAAAGTACCATCTATGGCCCATGTGTAGATTCTACCAGCAAACTTCCAAAATATAGGTACTTGAATTAAAAGGCAAGTCACATAAAGAAAGATTGATAGACTCTTAATGATCATCGCTAAATAGGTTTCTGCTAGCTTCTCCCATACTAATTTTATAGGCATTCTTTCTGGCATCTGCGGATCATATATTGTTCTGAATTTGTACGGAGTGTGGCATATATCACACTGCTTTGTAGATTTATTCGAATGCTTTAACCATTCCAATAAACAGTCTTGATGGATGTACTTTATGGAACCTCGGCATTTGCAAGGATGTAGTAGTGGTTGTGCTTCGGTTCCATCCCCACGACAAATTCGACAACTTTTGTCCATACTAGTAGTCCTCTTAATTATATTAGACTATAAAAAGAGAAGATAGTTGATCTTAGTTACTAGATTTAATGATGACACTTGCACATTATAGGTGCACTTATGAAGGAGCGTTAAGTTAGTCTGTCGATGGAGGTCACGTGCTTTGATATACAGTCTCGTCTTCGGTGATCTTTTCTATTGTCTCTGAAGACATTATCATAACTTACTATATAACCTTAAACTAATTTCGAATCTATGCTTTAGTCACAAATCAAGTTTTATCCTCATTGTCAACTGCTTCTTGAGGGACCGTCTCTTCTTCATCTTTATACAAAGTTTTTGGAGGGGGCGGACTTTCAACTTCCGACTGTAAATCCTCTCTCACATCATTATTTATCTTACCTCTTGGAGTCTCTTTAGGTTCGCTTATCTCAGCTTGGTTTTCGACAGGAGCGGCCTGAGTCTCTGAATCGGGAGCCGTTGAAGATGATGGAGTAAAAGATTGGTATTGAGCGATATCTGTATAAAATGAATTGCAATCAAAATCCCAAGTGCCTAAAGCTTTTGAAGCCTCACAGGAGGCCCGAGTCCACGGTGTACCATATATAATCGATGAATAGTGCACATAAAACAACAAGTTAAGGGCCACGAATATGGCCAAAAAGGCATATATCACTTTTTGCAAAGCCTTGGAACCCGAAGAGAAGTACCCAACAAAGAGTTCAAAGTATTGTCCTAATGCAAGAATTGCAAAATAAGCGGCTGGAATATAGTGATGTAAAAATAATTGTCTACCCATGATAAAAAATGGAAAATAATGGAGGAACCAACCGAGACTATAAGAAAACAACTGCAAATTATAGTTAAAGACATGTCTATCTTTAGCGATCTGAGCACCACATTGCCATCTTACTAAAGATACAAGAGCATGGATGATGAAAGTTGCAATCGCTAATGAAGATGACCACCAAATTACGGCATTTCCCATCAAATAAACTTGCCTGTGATCTTTTACCCAGTAGTTTATTCCTCTCAACAATAATGGCCACAGAGGAGGCGAAGATTGCCAGTTATGATGTTGGGTCAAGCCCTGGTTAATCTTCCACATCTTTTGATGTGATTCAACGATCTTATCCCACAATGATAATACTGGATAATTGACTATCTCCTTTTCTTCTTCAGGAATGAAAGAGTTAGAATTTGTTTCGATGTACCAATGTGTTAACGGACGATATCCTTGTGATGCAGCCGTTACTTCTTGTTGGTCAAAACCCCAATCAGGTAATTTAACTTCGCTGGAAAATAAGTAAGTACCTGTCATAGCATGTTTTAATCTGAATACAGTGTTGAGGGCCTTTACAACTTCTTGGGCATCACCATTCTTAGATCTGTAGTCAACTATTTCGAAGATGAAATCATCATTTGCATCACCATCAAACCCTTCATAACCATAGCAAGAAACTTCTTTTTGCCAATCTCTCTCACTGACTGGAGGCTTCTCATCATGTGAGTGCAAGCGTCTTTTCGTATTTACGTGAGTAAGCCTTACCTTCGTACCATCCTGAATCGGAACAAACTTATCTGGCATAGTATCGTTATACGGTTCAATCAACCAATTATTATTGGAATCTAAATGAGGATACAACGTGATTTGTTGTTGCTTTGAACCAGTGGGATAAAAATGATCATGAGAATGCAAATATCCACCGTTGGTTTCAATGTGCCTTATAGTGATTACTGATCCAAATCCCACATTAGCTGTTATATTTTTAGGGATTGCATTGCCATTTAACGTTGACCTGAATGCGCTTGACATAAATGGCGATCCATCGCCCTCATTTTTTAATACATTAAAATGAACAGCAAAGAAAAATATGTAACAGACGGCTGGAATACCTAATAAAATGACACCTCTTGTTATGAAATGTTTAATAATTTTTCTTGTGTCGACAGTGAGATCACCAATTATAAACCACAATTGAAAAACGCAGCCTACACCAACCCAAGCAATGGTAAACAATCCCACCCATTTAGAACTCACAGAAAGACCTAGCGCAATACCGCAAGCAATAAGGCTCTTGTACCATGCAAAAGAGAATGGAATTTGAATTTCAAATTTTTTCCATGAATATGCAGCAGCTGCAATGAAAAATAGTAACGGTGAATCCAAAAGAATATATCTTGATAGCGTAATTGTAGCATTTTCAAAAATCAAAGCACCACTGGTAATAAATGCTACCCACGGTCTGACTCCAGAACATCTCAATGTCAAGTAGGCTAAAATTACGGTACCAATTCCCAAGACAGCAGGAAAAGTCCTCATCAAGACATAAGGTGTTGATTTAGGAAACAAATCAGCAATTTTTTCAAATTTGAAATCCCCCTTAAAACCACCAAAAGCTCCAACAGCTGCAAATAGCATCTTAGCTAACGGTGGGTGAACATCCATAAAATACTGGCCCAAAATATATTTAGAGGCATAACCACCAAAATGAACTTCATCAAATACTACTGAATTGGGAACTTCCAATAAAGTAGCTCTGACGTACCATGAACTCAAGGCTAAAATAGCTATTAAAAAGTATTCTTTGGAGTGGATCGATCTTTTAGCCAAAATTGGTACCAGAGATGTAGTGATTAAATACTCGCGAAGCACACCTTTGCCATATTTTGGCTCAGCAACTTGATCAGCATTTAAGCCATTGCGCTCCTGATTGGGGACCTTGAGCTTCTTGACCATGATTCAAGCTTTGATGTCAATGAAATCGATTAGTATATCTTCGAACCAGCTTCTTTACAGTGAAATGACAGCGTCCGCGTCTCGGTTCTCGTGTCGCTTTGAACTCAAATTTTTTGAAATTATCATTATGTAATAATCAGCTGTTTCTTAGCAATCATTATTTATGCTAAAGAGCTTTTTTGCTGATTTCGATTATGTAATCATAATCCAACGGATCAAATCTTTGATTATGTAACGAAAAAACTAGATTCACCCTTAAATTAACACTTTCGCTGTACCACTCGAATTTTTGATCTGATACCATCCTGACACCCCTAACACACGGCTATAAATATAAGCAATGAGCCCTAGGCACCCATACGAATCGGTAACATACAGGAAGATAGCGCGCCTCATTTTTTACAGCCAACCTGATCCCTAAAGTTAACACATAAGACTAGAATAGAAGCAGAAAACTTAATTATTGGAGAAAAGTTCATACAAAGATTTGAAACGTATTTTGGATGACTTATATTTATCAGGTAGAGTGGTAAGTTTGATAGAGGATAGAATAGGAGAAAAGAAAGTGTCGTATTAACGGTGATAACCTCGAATGAAATCATTTCAGATGTGGATTATCAGATGAAGAACAGTAAGGTTCTTTGGTACCGTTATAGGCATCTGACTGTATCTATGATGCTTAGTATCAAGCTATGAGAGGGTTACTAACATTTTACAGGAGATCTTCTGATCCTAATGCTCAGTCGGTGCAAATCACTGGCAACTTTGATAACTGGACTAATTCACAGGAAGCTTTGGAGAAGAATGGGGATATCTTTACTGGTTTAATAAGAACTGATCAGAAGGATAAGTTAGTATTTAAGTTTATCATAAATGGTAACGATTGGATCACAAGTGATCAATACAAAGTGGAGTATGATGAAAGTGGGATCCCAAATAATTATGTTGATGCGGAAGAATTGCAAGTTCTTGAGGAGTTCGAGCTAGAAGATTCTCATGCAAGTCTTAACAAAGTTTCTCCTTCGACTAACCTGACAGATAATAAGAAAACCGTGCAAGATACTGAAGACAAGACCAATCTTACTCAAGTATTAACATCAGATTCTTCTTTTGCTGCCGTGTCAATTCCAGGATCTGCTGGCCTGACTTATGAGAACATTGAAGATACGATAGATGAAAACTTAAATTCTGAAGAAGCGGTGGATGATCAATTTAACACACCGACGAATTCAATGTTCAATTCAACAGTTCTCTCAAGTCCCACGGAGGGAGCTAATAGTGCACGCGTGAACAAAAGTCAGCCCAATACTGCTTCTGTTGGAAGCATTTCGAAATTGGCGTCAGGATCTGGCTCAACTATCGATGTTAGCACAAGGCCAAACGATGAAGAGACAACTACAAGTGCAAACAATCAAAATGATTACTCAACTACATCCGGAAATATTTCCAGAAAAGATGGCTTGCTCTCAAAGTTTAAAAGTTTATTCAGAAGCTAATGCAGTCCTCATGTGTGAGATATATAAAGGTAGTCTAAGCAAATCCCTGCGAATCAAACATCACAAGGGAGATACTATTTTAGCAATCCTTGGTGAATTTTTTTATTTCTAGTTCCTTAGTTTTTCTTTCACTTCTATGCCTTTACTAGTTTAATTTGTATTAAAGAATACAGTATCCTTTGGGAATTCAAGAAAGAGCTTGTGAGTCCTAAAATGATTCACTGTTATATTTTATCAACAAATTAGTGTAAAATTACTTCCAAAGGCTAGTACATATTTTTTTAATCTATTTCTTTGCCTTCTTTTTTTTCTTTTTATTCTTACTACTGGATGGAGTAGTAGATAGGGATTCTTGCTCATTAAAAGCTGGTATAGCGTTGGTGGCTGTTCTCGTTTCTTCAGCATCGGCGTTTGTACCTTTCAGCTCTATCTTACTTTCATCTGTATCGTATTTGCAATTACTCATGATACTAGCTAAACCTGCTGCATGATCTGTTGTCATCTCCGCTTCAATTTTGGCAGTCTCATTACTTGGTTCAAGATTCACCGCTTCAAGAGATCTCTTTCTTGATTTAGATACGGTTACACCTTTTGGCCCAAGAAAAGTCAATAATCTTGATAGCTCTTTGGTCCTCTTGGTTTTATACTTTATACATTTTCCAGATTTTGGCTCGTAGCATTTAAAAGTTACTGAATTTGTAGCTCTCTTTGATACATCCTTTATGATCTTTTTTTTGCTATGTTTCTTTGCTTCATTTGCATAAGTTATGGACACTAGTGTCGACGAAGGAAAAGCTTCAAGGAGCCTCGAAGCTGACTCAATGAAAAGTTCAATGTCTCGTTCATACGGCATAGTTCCTTTATAGGTGTTGTAGCTAGGGACAAGTTCATTACTACCTTTTTTTTTGTCCGTTGAAAACCTTATATGTAGTCTCGTTTATCAATATGCAAAATGTAAGAAAAAACCTATAAAACTTTTTCTATGTAGAATACTTTCATAAAGGTACGTCAAAACCTAAAATAAAACTTCCGATTAAATATAAATTCAAGCATGTTATGAATCCCCATACTAATATTGCAACGAAAGCTGTGAACCGACTATTGCTCATGTCTTTAAAACCCTTAATTCTCTGTCCTATATCGTTACCAATATTAGCACTGTCAGTTGAAGACTCTTGCACAAGGTTATGGCGGTCATAGGGAGAGTATTTCTGCAGACTGGTAGACAGAGATATGGTCACAGGATCCATCAAGCCTTGGTGTTCACCCTCGATATCATCGCCTTCCCAACCAGCACAAGGATGTGACTTTCGAAGATCCTGAAGCATGATTGCAGCATCTGTTGACTGAAATTTTCTATCGTTCTTATAACTTTTTCCAGGGATAGAATTATCCCGGTAGTATGTTTCTTCAGCGTCAACTATAATATCGACAGTTTCATCACCATCCCTTTCAAAAATTGGCACCCTCATAATCTTCTTCGAGCATGTGAACATAATTAATGGTGCACTAACTACTGGAAGTAGAATAGAGAGAACGACTTGGCTACTATTTAAGATTCTTCCAAGTCCTTCACGCCCAGTAAAGCTCACGACTAGCAAACATGGAATGATAGCCAAGCCCCTAGTTATCAATCTTCGTGTTACAGGTGGTAGCGACCACAGAAGAAACCCTTCTGACACCATTTGTCCTGCTAACGTACAAACAACGCCCGCGCTTTGACCAGAGCAAAGTAATGCAAGAGCAAACACAAACCCTGCAGTAGGAGATAAGTGATTAGACAAGAGGTTATAAATTGTGAATAAATCTGCGTTAGTGTAATTATTTTCGCCATCACTGTCTGAGTCGTCCTCATGTTGATCATCCCTTGGATACTTTTGAAGCTCATCGTTATTCAAAGTTGCTCCTGCCACAATTAAAATTGCCGAATTAACAAATAACGCTACTGTGAGTAATGATATAACCAACTCAATGATAGTGTATGTCATTGTCTCATTAATCGCATGAATAGATGGTCTGTAATACTCTTCTGAGTCAACATTCTTTTCAAACTCTTCATTTTGTGCACTCAAAGAAGGAGCTTGTACAACTACTTCATCGACATCATGCGCTTCACTGCTTTCAATCGGAAGGTCTTTATCGGGAAAGTAAAATCCATGCTTGATGTCATAATCTTTCAATCTTGGTTGGACTAAACCTGAACCTAAATATAATGAATGAGGCATCACTGTAGCTCCTAAAATCGCAAGACTCAAAAACAATCCATTACCACCTTCTCTATCTTCCATATTTATTACATCTTGATTTGGCAAGAACCCTTTTAAAACATCCGAGATCGAAAACTTAATTCCTGAGTCATGCGATACTTGATATAATTCGATTGCAAAGCATACAAGAGTAGCGCCGACTAGAGCAGAAACAAATAGCTCAAATATTCTTATGAAAAACAATGGTCCATTAGGTCGGTAAACCAGCAAAACGATCAAGACATCTATCACTGTAATCAAGACACCTAGAAACAAGGGAATATGAAAAAGTATGTTCAATGATATTGCAGTCCCAACTACTTCAGCTAAGTCTGTAGCAATAATGGCAATCTCTGCCAAGATGTAAATGCAAATATTAGTCCTGAAAGAAAAATTATTCTTACAGTTCGATGCTAAATCTAAACCTGTTACTGCGCCCAACTTCGCTGACAATACTTGTAAAAATATTGCTAAGCAGTTCGAAAGTAGAATCAGGAATAATAAATTGTACTTATATGCTGACCCAGCAGCTACCGCAGTCGAATAATTTCCTGGGTCCATGTATGCAACGGACACCATTAAACCTGGTCCTATGAATTTCATGTATTTTTTCAACATCAGCAAAAGCTTTCTAGGGCTATCACCGAGCTGAGCTTTAAGAAAGCTGGTAGCACCTATGTTGCAACCCATTTATTAAAGCAGTTCTAGATGTTATATTATATTGGCACAAATAGAATTAATTTTTATGTAACCTGTTGGCCGCGTTTTAGCTCTTTTCCGCTGTTCTTTTGGCAAGTCTGTCAAAATACGCTAAATGATCTCGTCGCGTCCAAAAATCCTTATAACCAAATTTTATTCTCTTTATGTTTAGCTTTTGATTCAAGACGAAGAAATTTGAAGAAAAACTTGGCTTTGTATTGAAAAGAGCAAAGCTGGAGAGTTGATAGTTAGCGTCATCCGGAAAAAGTAGGTTGTAAATGTCGTTTTATTAATGTGCAGAACGTACGGCGGTTCCTAAACTTGCGACAATGTTCATTCTCTGGTAGTGTTTCGTGGCGGAAATGTCGCTCCCGAACTTGTTCGGTCATATTACTCCGGGGATATCTTTTAGTTCTTTCTAAATCTTTTGAAGATTTCTACCGTTTGGCATTGAAACATAGATAACATATTTAGACATGCTTAGGGCCGGTAAATTGGCACATAAGCTCAATAGAGGCTTACCCTTGGTGATAAGATGTGGTTTTCATCAGACGGCAATTCCTTTGGCTGCCTCAGTCTTCAGAATGCCAGCTATGTCACCCACCATGACAGAGGGAGGAGTTGTATCATGGAAGTACAAGCCAGGCGAGAAATTCTCTGGTGGCGATGTTTTATTAGAGGTAGAAACCGACAAGGCTACAATTGATGTTGAGGCCCAAGATGATGGCATTTTATGGGAAATATTGGTTAACGAAGGCAGCTCAGAAATTCCAGTAGGACAGCCCATCGCTTTCTTGGCTGAGCAAGGGGATGATTTGAATACCTTAGAGAAGCCACCATTAGATGATGCGAAGGATGTACCGAAAAAGAAGGAAGCGTCGTACGAAGGACCCTCAGAAGGACCGCCCAAGAAGGAAACAACATCTGCATCGAAGGACAATAATTCAAGCGATCAGAAACCTTTGTCAGGACTGTCAGATATATTTCAAAAGGCGAATCCTAATCAAAAATTTTCTCCTTCGGTGGAAATATTATTGCATGAAAATGGTTTATCTAGAGAAGATGCGATTTCAAAGATACAAGCATCAGGTCCAAATGGGAGAATCTTGAGGGGTGACGTTTTAGCTTATTTGCATGATATTGATATATCTTCAGTCGAAAAAATAGCAAAGTTCGTGAAATCTAGACAACATTTGGATTTGTCTAATATAGTTTTAGCCGAGAAAAAAGATCAGAAGCAAGCTGAGAGAACCCCTGAACAGCGTAATGTCCCTAAGAATATTGTCTCCGTTGAGTTGATCTCTGTTTTGGGTGAAGATGTTCCCAATGAAAAGTTTAAATATGCTTTTGAAAGATCTATTGAATCGTCCATCAGAACAACTTATGCTATGCGGTACCCTGAGTTCGCACGTTCTCCAACCGCGTCGTCAACTGAAAAGGATCCTTTTGATGATATAATTGATCCATTGGTAACTCAATCCAGATTTCTGGTATTCGATATAAAATATAATTTTTCTGGTGGTTCACCTGCTGCCCTACAAAGTAAGAAAGGTGATGCTTTTGATGAAATTTTGGGTATTTCTCAATCTCAAGCTACTGCTTCGGAGGTCGCAAGTAAAGTTAAAGTCGAATTCAAAATCAAGTTTGACGAAAAATTATCAGATGCTAAAAAGTTTGTAGATCTCTTCGAAGAGTCTTTAATTTCACAGACACCTACAAACGAGATAAAGATTTCATGATAATAAAAGAAATTCGTACTTCGATCAAGCTTTACATACATTTTCAACAGTTTATTCATTTTTTTCAAGTTTTCTTGGACTTCATATACTTTATTTTACTTTTAATGCATACACGTAATATACTTATCACCATTTTATTGCTCTGCATATTGTCATCATCTCAATTTTTTTTTTTTTTTCGACTTTTTTTTTTTTTTTAATAGTAGTAATTTGGGACCAAGAATCCTTG